TATGTCCTGGATGGGAGGGAGGGAACTGCCAATGATCTTTTCAGCCATCCTCACCACTCTCTGCACCGCCTTCCTGTCTGAAGCAGTGATGCTTCCAAACCAGACTGTGATGCCGTATGCTCACAATCGTCCCCCTGTAGAAAGTGGTAAGGATAGGAGAAGGAAGATGTGTCTTTCTCATGCGGTGGAGGGAATGCAGGTCCTGCTTGCCCACTTCACCAGTGTCTTGCTGTTGAGCGACCAAGCCAGCCTACTAATTGGGCCCGGAAAAGACCTCTGGAGCCCGGATCGGGCCATGGGGGTATGCAAAAGCCTCCCCAGCTTCAGATGTGAGCCGCAGCAGCCTGGAAAAGGCCTCCGGAGCCCAGATTGGGCCGCAGGGGGATCGTGAAAGCCTCTTCCGGTCTCACATCAGGGCCACAGTGGCCTAGAAAAGGCATCCAGAGCCCGGATTGGGCTGAGTGGGATACACGGAAGTGTTCCCCTGCCTCAAATCTGGGCAGCAGCAGGAACCGTGGCAGTGGGGAGATGGATCTTTTCCAGGTGAGTCCAGCACGGCAGGAAGGGAGGGGAAAACATGCGGTATCTTAGTGGGTTGAGGAGGCCTTAGGGGCCAGTTTCAGCACTAGGGCCTCCATGACCTTCCCCACCCTGAGATACCTCATGTTCGCTTAACATGCCGCATGCATTTTAACGAGAAAGGGAGTGGTCTCGTACCTCGAACGAGATTCACTCTATGAGTTTTCGATTTACGAGTGGAATGGGCAGGCTCCATTACACTCATAACTCAAGGACTACCTGTATTTCTTTTCATTTTTTGTCTTTTCTCAGCAACTCCTTCATTAGTATAGCACACCTCTTTTGTAAGGCCAAGATATGCAAGGTGTCCAAATCACTCTTTTAATGTATTATTGGTGTATCCCTTTTAATCACTAAGAAATCAGCCAGTTTCATTTGTAGGTCTTGTGTAGCACCTTTTTCCATATCATTCTTGTATTTGTCATTTTAAAATCTGTATCCAAAGCAACCTGGTTCTCGGTTGTTAGTTGTCTTCTAACTCCTCTTTTAAACTCATTGAGAGTAGATAATTTTTAGATAATTTTTTTGAGTGCATTGGTGCCAAATATTCTTGAATTCTTCCAAAGTCAAAATACTTTCCTCCATTCTTTACTAATGTGCCTCTTCTCCTTTAATTATAATCTTTACCAGCTTCTGATTGCGTCTAGTTTCCAGACTTCAAAGTCTCCTCCTATCATGTTTTTCTCTAATCCACAATATTTTCCCACAGGAGGATTGCTTACACTTAGGTTCAAAATCTTCATATATTTTTAATAGGATTTTAAACAACCCATAGGAAGGATTCTTATACTTAGTTTCTAAATCTTATTTCCAATCCATCTGGCCCCTTTGTTCATTTAAAACTTTTCAGTATTATTTTACTCATCCTGTTGCTTTTTATTTCAGAGTGAAAAAAATGTTTTAAAGTTCTTAAACTTACATAAATCTTCTTTACCCAAGGACTCACCCAGTGTGATGAAATTTGTCTGTTCTAAAGATTTTTAGTTTTCAAAAAGCAGTTAACAAGCAGTTTCCTGAAGTGATTAAGAGAGGAAGTGGCCAAATTCAGTGTTTGCTTGAAGGCTCCAAACTGCATCTTGAACAAAACTGACTTTCCCTCAGCTCCTAGAGCACTTAACCATTGAAAGCTGCAGTCTTAGTCTCCTCATCTATGTCAGGGGTGTCAAACTCAATTTCATTGAGGGCCGCATCAGCATTGCAGTTGCCCTCGGGGGGGCTGAGTGGGTGCGGCCTACTGGGTGGGCATGGCCAGCTCTACATTGTTTGTGTCAAATGTGCCTGGGGCCTGGGCAGATCTGAGGGGCTCTGGCAGAAGGGGGTGGGACCGGGGCAAGCGCCAAGGCATGGTCCATTTCTTCATGCCTCACAAAGGGTGACACCTCCCCAGCGTGCACCCAGGGGGCGGGGCCGACACAGCAGGGGCTGGTTCCTCGCTGTTTCTAGACGGCCTTGTGGAGCTAAGACTGAATATGTTTCAGCATAGATGGCCACCACAAAATTGTACATTGGCTCCCGGCTGGCCTGGGCCACAGGATGGCTTCGCGGGCCACATGAAACCACTTTGCGGGCCGCATCTGGCCCCCGGGCCTTGTGTTTGACATGTCTGATCTATGTGAAGCACTTATGAGCGATTCCAGGTTTTCCAGGTGCCACTCTGTTTGCTGGCTCATTGTTCTGCTGTGGTTGTCAGTGCTGCAAAAAGTGAAGCCATCTTCAGGAGGGGAGGATGCTAGCAATCATGAAGAAGGCATGAGACCTTCCTTTTAAAGAGGCTCTCCTTGGATTCAGCAATGTGTGGTGAGTTTAAAAAATTAAAGATTTAAAATTTATTATATTGTCATTTTGCAATTTTGGACAATCAAGATTCGTTTTGCAGTAACCTAAAGACATGTTAACTAACTATTAGATGATTCAAATAATACCCCTTCTTCACCCTAACTTTCAACCCTCCCCACTGAAAAAAAGAGAGATTGGGAAGAGAGTTTGAGAAAAAAAAATATCAGCAGTTTTCAAACTGGAATTGCTTATTATGTTCTATGTAAGTTTATTAGGTGAGTGAGGGAATGAATTATGCTTGTGTATAATTTCTGAATATGTCTTCAAGAAATGTCAAAAAAACCCACTGCTAAAAGTGGAGCCAAACTTCAGCTTCATCACATGACTTTCTAATTGTGCCAAAAAGTTTCTTTTACTAGATCACTTGTATTCCAGAAAGAAACTGAAATTGGAAGAAATGTCCAATGATAAAGTTGAAGCAGAAAATCTGAAATCTCCATCATTATACAATAACAATTATTTAGGTTAAAAAAAGACTTAAGAAACTTAAACTATCCTTCCCCTAAAAATATTCCTAATATATTATCAATCAATACTTTAAGACAGCAGTCCCCAACCTTTGAGATTTGGTGGCCTGGGGGGGGAGGGGAACCTGACCATGCGAATGGTGGGCTGGTATGCATGTGCACACAGCTCAACATACACAAGTTGGGCTGCGCGCATGTGTATGTGCATGCAACCCGGTTCCGAATAGGCCACAAACCAGGAGTGGGCCTTGACCCAGGGGCTGAAGACCCCTACTTTAAGATATTAATATAACACCTGAAAGTAATACATAATGCTTGATGTAATATTCATTTTTAAACATTCATATTTTCCTTAAAGAGTAAAAAAAATCTTTGGTACTTTTAATGGTTTTATTTATGGTAATGTCAGTCTGAAATAAGCACTAAGATATAATGTATTTATATAATAAAGGAAAATATTTGCAATTCAGGGTTTAAATGAGGGGTCCTTGGTGCTCTCTGAGCTGCACTGATGTTACTTAGTTCACGTAACGAAATGTCTGCAAGAAAACAATCAAGCTCAAAAAGCACCAAGGACCCCTTATATTTATATCCACAGTGAAGAATGTTTCCTTGATAGTTATTCCCAGATATTTAACAGAATCAAAATAATGAGAACCCTAATATTCAGAAATCACCATGGAAATCTTAAGCTTATAGAAAATATATAGTATAGTCCTACTTCAGTTGAATAATATCTGATAATTTATCAGACAGTTGGACAATATTATTCTTTAAAATATCTTTAAAAAAAGAAAAGAAAACCCCCTTTTTATTTTTCCACATATTAAAGCAAAAGCAAAAAAATAAAATAGACAATTGTTTATAATTTAATGTAATACAGCATGACTAGGCAGCAATTTAGTATAACTAGAAAGTGCTTTTTTGCTACTGCTTGCTCTTCTTTCAAACAAGTCTTTGTTTTGATCCTGTCTTACTCTTAGCCTTCCTGCCAACTTCCTTGTCTTCTGCCAGCCTAGCTTTGCCAAATTTTGAATTCCAAAAAGTCTCAACATCACTAATTAATATATTCAAACTAAATCAGTAAAAAAAGAATATAGTTTATATTTAATTCACTTTCTGTGTACAAATGGCTCCTCATTTAAGCAATGTTAGAATTACCTAAGAGGCTGCTGGAGAAATAGACTGTTCCCTTAATGAGAATTCCTTTCTTTATGCTTCAATTAAAGTTTGTAGATAATTATTTGAAAACCTTCATTACCAAAACAAAACAGCTTTTAAAATGGAAATGATGAGCTATAAATATATGTATTTCTCAGCCACAAAACTAAAGAGAACAGACTCTGACTTAGAGTCATAGTGAGATTCTTAAGACTTCAACAGCAAGCAAACTGCAACTGCAGTTGTTCTTCACAGCAGTTTTTCCATACTGCCCACTGAATTTCTGCTGGTTCTGTAGCAGTTGAAAAGCACAAAGCCTCTATCAGGAAAAAAGCAAACAGAGTAATCCAGATCTTTTCCACCTTATGCATCTGGCTTACCGATGAATGGAAGAATTCAGTTTAACAATACAAACATAAATCTTCCTGTTAGGATGAAATATTTTTCACTGGAAGGTATTAATGGTTCACAACTGAAACTGTACTGAGTTCTAAAAACACACAATAGGGTGTGGAACATCCAGTTTGTGTGGAGTCAAATTTATCAGGAGGAACCTCTTCAGCCTTCTCACTGCCACTAAGTGCAACATATAACTTGATCCTTCTAAATTTCATTTTGCAGATTCTTTCCATTTACTAACTTGACTATTCCTATCATAAGCATGCTACAATTCAATTTCATTCATACTAATTAAATTGATAACTACTGTTTTACCTGATAATTTAAAGAACTATAAGCTTCTACAGCTGGTGCTGAATATTAATATAAATTCTGTTATGAATCAGGTACAATAAGGAAATAGGCAATAAACTTCATCACTAAGTAAGCAGTACTGGTAATCAAAACATTTTTTTCCTCAGCTTGCACTCATGACAATTTAAGGCATAAAATTTTTTGGGTATTAAAATGATATATATCATTTATCTTTATACTATTTATCCAATAACTACTAGTTACCCTTCAAGAACATGAAATCTGTATTCAGCATTATTGAAAGATTAAAATATGTTTAATGAAAGAGGACAGAAGTCAATTAGGTGTACCCCCTGGATCTTGAAGTATCTTTATTTCTTGGCATAGATATGGTGGTTATTTCAGAGAGGATGCAATCAAATATGAAAAACAACCACATGACCTTTTTTTGGCTTCATTTTCTCAAAAGCACTAGAAGAAGAAACATATTTTAAAATCCTCTCATAAATTGAATTAATCAGCTGAGAGCTATCATGGAGATCTTTTATATAGTTTTTTCACTATCTTGGAAGAGCAAACAGATAGAATATAATTCAGGCCACAGATTTGGGTTGCAGAAACAGAAGACTGGATGATAGCAAACAGTTTTCTTTCTCTTTTTACAGCTGAATGGTCATCTGGATTTTTGCAGCCCAGTTCTTTTAGCCTTATACAATCCAAGAACAGAAAAATGATCCCAGATTACCTAGCTGTTCTATACATTGCCCTCTAGTCTCACCTGCAAAAAGTAATGTGAAAATAATGGTGAGCTGGTACACGGCATGTCCCAGAATGTTCTTCATCATGGTTCGGGAAATTAGTGGCTTGTTGCGACCATATGGCCTACGCAGGAGCAAAGACTCTGAAGGGGGTTCTGTGGCAAGAGCTAATGAGGCAAAGGTGTCCATGATCAAGTTCACCCACAACATCTGGACAGCCTTCAGAGGTGAATCCTGCAGAGAAAGAAAAAATCCTTTCAAAAACTAATATAATGTAAACATAGTCCATGGCTATATTCTTCCCCTTACCCCAGTTCTTTAACTTGGGAGTTGACTGGTGCTGAATTCATACATCTGAGTTACTATGATAATCCAGGAATACTAGTATTTGCAGTCCAATATTACTATTGTTAATACGATGATTAAATATTTTGTTAATTTAGTGTTACAGTATGTCCAAGACTTGTTGCATCTCTTTTGTGCAGCTTGAACGCTCTTCTTCAAGTTGTTCACATTTCTAATTTCAACTGAATAAAGAGGAGTAGCAATTCTGTAATTCCAGTACTGTAGAGGTCTTTGGGTAGATGTGATGCAAAAAGAACTGTAGTCTTCTGATGAAAATATAAATAAATTGTTTATAACCATTAGCGATAGTAGTCCATTATATACTGTCTCCATCAGCTCTATTTGTGACCCGCCTGTGGTATCTAGTTGGCCACTGTTAGAAAAGCTAAATGAATAGACTTTTGGTTTCCTTCTGGAAAGTAAAGTTCTTGTTCATCTAATTCTCTTCTTATCTTTGAACTTTTTAGCTTTATATGCATCAAAACATTTTGATTGTTGTATTTGAAGACCCCCAATGGAATCTAGATCATCTCATATTCATTAAAAAAAGTCCCAACTCTTTTAGCTGTGGTTACCTGTGTGATGCAAGCACCCGTGAATGCCACAATCACAGCCACGACATTGACTGTCAGCTGGAACTGCAGGAATTTGGAAATGCTATCATATACATTGCGGCCCCACATCACTGCCTTAACAATGCTTGTAAAATTATCATCTGTCAGGATAATGTCTGAAGCCTCCTTAGCCACATCTGTGCCAGCAATGCCCTGAGAAAATAAAGAACAAGCAGAGGAAAGACAATTAGTCGGAAGGGAAGCATTAAATCTGTTTATGTTCAATTTTAAGACTTGCAGCCATAAAATGGTCAACGTCAGTTCATTTCAGATGTAACACTGCAGTGTAAATTATATGAAACATTTCATTATTTTTCTGAAAGATCCAAATGAACAAACACAAGACTCTTTGACAATTAAAATACCTAATCTGTATAATCAGCTTAACTTTTCTTCCTTCCAGTTCAAAAACTCTGAGGAAAAGCTAGGCATTGCCTCTTTGCTTGGACTTGTTGGTGATTAAGGAGGCTGTTAGGCTTATTGCAAAACTCAGTTACAGACACGTGGTGGCAGTCAATGACTAGAAAATCTATGCCTGTTAGAATAGGCCAGCAAATCTCAGAAGCGTTAAGCAGGTTCCCTGTAGCGACCAATTTTCCCTAATGCTTGCCTGCTGTGTCCTACTGAGCCCAGGGATGGTAAAATTTTGTTTTGGGCTGCAAGATTTCTGACTTCTGCAACTGAAAAAGCTAAAACAGAAAACAGAACACAGTGAAAATAACTTTAACATATATACAATGCTGCAGGGTTGTGTTTTTTTTTTGCCAACCAGTGTTATCAGTTATCAGTTCCATCATGCAAAAATACACACCAACAAATAATTATCTGCTCCTTTTTTGTTTGCAATGTAGTCCCTAGAATATGAGCTCATACCATAGCAAATCCAACATCTGCTTTCTTCAAGGCTGGGCCATCATTGGTGCCATCTCCAGTTACAGCTACCACCTGCCTCCGCTCCCCAACAGTACTGTCAATAATTCCTGAAAATGAGCCCAAGGTCAGTAGAGGATAAGCACAGAGCCACTAGATTTACTGGCAAAATTCTAGAAACAATTTATATGATTATCATGTAAAACCCTGACCAACCTAGGGCTATGATATCTAAAGGACTGTATAGTTTTTTAAGAGATTAATATCTTGTCCACTAAGACAAATTAATGAGACATCTTTTTAAATATGAGGGATATACAAAGGGGTTTATTTTTTTGTTACCATGCCCAGACTCAGGAATTCCCTGCTTATAAGAAGTTGATATAGCACATTCCCTTGCCAACATTCTACTGTCAAATGTGGATGGAATTATATTGCTCAGACTGGCGTTTAACAAATATTTGTTTTGTTTCTGATTTGCTGCCTTTTTTAAAAAAAGCTATTCAATTTTCACTGTGTAGGTTGCCTCACGTATTGCATTTTGGAACTGGATCATACATGAATACATGTCAATTCAGCAAATCTGGCTCTGTAAATGCAATGTATCTGTTCACAAATGTTATCTCTTTGGTTGATCATACCTTTCACAAGGGTGTGTTTGTCAGTTGGTGAAGAACGTGCCAAGACTCGAAGTTTAGGCCAGATTTTATCCAGTTGTTCTTGCTCCACCTGCAGAGCAAAACCCCAATAGGAGAAGCTAGGTTAGCTCTGAAAGGGGCTTTGGAACCAGTCTCCCCTCTCCACTTACAAAAGGTTCTGAAAGCATCATCCACTTTCTCAAAAGAATTTCATCTAATGACCAATGATGAATGGCATAACAATTGCAGGTAGTATGGAGAAACCATTCTGTTAACATTAACATGGATCTGACATATTATCAGAGGATTGCAGAGTCAATACCTTAGAAATTAGGAATATATGATGTCAGCTGCTCCAATACAGCAGGCCACAGCAGATACTTGCAACTTTAGAGAGACAGGCAAAGAAGCCTTTGTATATCTACACTGCAGCCTTACAATACTATCATTTTTCCCCTTCTAATTAAAGATAAAATTAAATGAAATTAAAAACCTACAACTGAAAAAAGGATAGTAAACAAATAAAACCTAGATATACTATGGTGATTAAAATAAACTAGACATGACAAAAAATAAAAACAAAACTATTTAATGGTAAGGAAAAAAGGAAAACCTCTATTTAATAATTATAAACAGCAATGTAAAAATAAATTCAGTCCTTAAGTTTATTATTAAATTTGGAAATACAGAAACATACTGCTTAATCTTTTCATTTTTAAAGACTTGGACGCTCTCCAAAAATAGTTAGTAGACTCATATCCAGGGTCTATTCCTTAAAATCAATAGAGTTTTTTTTGAATTACATAAAAATTATCTTCTTTGCCATGCAGTAAAACTCTTCCTAAGTGACAAATTTCCATGTTTTAGGGATGCAGTTTGCCATCACATTAGAATGAATACATCACTTAAAACAAAACCAGGGATCACATACAAAAAAAAGGGGGGGGAGTCAGAGTAAACAAAATATTGATTTTTCATTTATATTGAAATGAAATGAAACAAAATAAAATATGGCTAATGAGATTATTCTCCATATTTTAAATATTTTTCCCTCCTGCCCCATTTGGTAACAGGTTTTGGAGATCTCAGCTCTGACAGAAACTTGATCAGCTTCAATCCCTCATTCATATTACCTCTCCTTTCTCATTGCGGATCAGCCGATTAAATTCCTTCCCTTCCAAGCACAGGAAGTCCTCTCCGGGCAGCAGGATCCCACACTTAGTTGCAATGGCACGTGCTGTGTTAATGTTGTCACCTGTAACCATCCTGACAGTGATACCAGCACGCTGGCACTTCTGAATGGCCTCAGGTACCTATTGATAAGCCATGAAAAACAGAACCTATAAGGAAGGGACCATGAAGCAGGCAAAAAAAAAAGATGTCTCAAATAAGAAATAATGGGTGGAAACTGTAATAACCTATATTGTGGCTAGATTCTGCAAAGCAGCACTGAGGATTCAGCAGAAACGTAAATAAATATTTTAGATCTTTTTAATAATCTTTTATAATTAATTTTATTACATGTTTTTATTCAGTATTAGACCATATTCAATGTATTTTTATTGTCAGGTGAGTATGACTCAAGTCTCTCTGAAGGCAGATAGGTTTTGTTATACTGTCTGTAAAACTAGGCAGACTTTGGACATTCATTGATTACATCATTAATTATAATATATTGCTATACTTTCTTGTGTTCGGTTCTGTTTAGTTCTGTTTTATTTAATAATAATAATAATAATAATAATAATAATAATAATAATAATAATAATAATAATAGTAGTAAAGTTGGAAGGGATCTTGGAGGTCATCTAGTCCAATCCCCTGCTCAGACAGGAAACCCTATACCATTTCAGACAAATGGCTGTCCAGTCTCTTCTTAAAAACTTCCAGTGTTGGAGCATTCAGAGCTTCTGGAGGCCGGTTGTTCCACTGATTAATTGTTCTGTCAGAAAATTCTCCTTAGTTCTAGGTTGCTTCTCTCCTTGATTAGTTTCCATCCGTTGCTTCTTGTCCTGCCTTCAGGCACTTTGGAAAATAGCTTGACTCCCACTTCTTTGTGGCAACTCCTGAGATATTGGAACACTGCTATCATGTCACCCTTAGTCCTTCTTTTCATTAAATTAGACATACCCAATTCCAGCAACCGTTCTTTATATGTTTTAGCCGCCAGTCCCCTGGTCAGCTTTGTTGCTCTTCTTTGTACTCTTTCTAGAGTCTCAACATCTTTTTTACATCGTGGTGACCAAAACTGGATGCAGTATTTCAAGTGTGGCCTTACATTTGAATGTTTTAATTTTATGTATTGGCCTATGGCTGTAATAATAAACTGATTGAAACTTATATTGTAATGGCAAATTTATTCTTCAATCATGGATTGCGCCATGGCATTCTAATCTGTTTACAAAGAGGGACAACCAACATGGGTTTTCAGAAACAGAAAACATTTAAGAGAACAATTCAAAGAGCACTAAGGACTGATGTGGAGAAACTGAAAACCAGAGGTAGAGAGAGGAGAGTTCGGGGACTGACATACCAAGTAAGAGCATCCTGATCTACAACACTTGACTATCAATTCCACTTACCTGAACAATTATATCATGAAACCACAAGTCAATGGCATAAATTAGCTAATCAAGTGTTGAACAAGAACCAAGGAGATCCAGGTTCCAGTTGCCCCTCGTGGAACTCTTTGGGAGCAACCATTACCTCTTACTAAGTTTAAATTAGCTCCACTGGATTCTTAAAGCAGTCAATATGAAAATACAAATATGACACAATGTCCAGAAATTTCTTGTTTTTAAAAAGGAAAAAATTCTGTATTTACTCACAGAGTCTTAATGTAAACCTCATAACAATTTGTGAGAAGAAACCAAGTCTATAATTGCTTAAAGGCAGTGTAACTTATTTTGTGTTTTGCAAGGATTTTACAACTTGCAACGGAAGGTCAAACATTTCCATTAAGAAATGAGAAGAATTACAACAGAAACTACAAACATGATAATCTGCTAAGTGCAGATTATTTTGAATAGCACTATATAGATGTATTAATAGAAAATGCTCAAGCATTAAATTGCTCTACATTTTTTCTAATGGGCCTGTGAAACATGTTCTCCTGCCCACTACTCTGCCATGCCATAACTAATAATTTTGTGGCACCTGGGCAACAGACATGTATTTCAGTGCATGCGTATGCAACACAATAAGCATGCTGGAGTGTGGAATGATTTCTAGAACAGACATCCTTCTTGCCTATAAGGATATATATATAACTTCTTGCCTTTCTTCAAACATACAATGCTGTTAGGGGTCCATTTCATCCCTCTCCTGTGATGGGATGGCAGTATAGAAACAGATTAATTTCCACCTCTTGACTGCATCAGATCACCACTGCTTAAGTTAACTCATATAGATCAAACCATACACAGAGTGACAGTAGGGCTAAGGACTGACTGAGAAGAGAAACACCATTAAGAAATCTGCAAATTGAATCACTGCCTCCAGACTAGTGCATGCAAGGCATCTGTGAAGCCATTTTCAATCCCAGATATTTCAGCGTCTAATTATGGGAACAGTGTGCAGGGGCCCAATTCTGAAATGTAATCAAGTAGCAGTCATAGGATGGTTTATTGTGTTATGTCAGTTGTCTGCTTGTCACCCCATAGAAATTGTGAGAGAAAACAGAGCCTGGGAAGGATGAAGTAAACCAAAGATAATCAATTTCCCTCAGCAAGTATATTTTCTTTGTGGAATATATTTGGCTGCTTTAAAGAGGAATTTGTATATTATAGTTGCCATTTTTAGGGCAGATATATCTGGTGTTCTTTAATAGGTACACAGAATGCATAATTTTTAAGTGAAGCAGCAATCAGTCAAAACTCTTTTTCCTTTTCTAGATGTCTACATGTCTTTTCCTGACAGTTTCCAATACCTGCAACAATTGCAAAACAGGGTGAAATTCAAGGAGAATAGATTAGTCTTTGTCCTGCAAATCTTTGAAAGAAAAAGCTGGACCTTTCCACTATCTCCCTGCTAGGTAGGTACCAAAGAGCAAAACCAGAACAGAACTGCAACTCTGCTATTAAACTCACAAGGGCTCTTCCCACAAACGGCAACCTTACTGATAACACAATGTTGTTATCAATGAAGACAAAGTCTCTGTAACTGAGAATAGAGCAATCTTTAACTGCTGGTAGAAAATGAGCAGAAGGTAGAGATGGAAAGGGTATGGGACATCCACTAAAGGTATTCACTGATACACAAACAGGAATAAGGAAAAACCAAAAAGATCAGGTAGTTGAAGAAAAAAAAATCAAGGTTGCATTAAAAAGTAGATCCAAAGGAAAGCAATGAAAAAACAAAATAAAGGACAAAGGAATACCCTGCAGGAAAGTAAAAGGCAAAGGATAATAATAAAAAAAGCAGAGCAAGTCAGAGAAGGGACCGGAAAAAATAAGATAACAGGTACACCACCAAAATGGTGACCTAAGAGAACAAAACGGGTGAGCTGTCAGCAAAGGAACAAAATTGGAAACAGCAAAAAGAAAAAGAAAGAATGAATATGCATAGAATAAGATTATGATTAGAATAGAATAGCCATTTTATACCGTATGTTTGCTGGACTTCAATCGCTATAATCTTTAGCTAGCTGGAGGGTGCCAGGTTGGGAAAGCCAAGTTAATATTCAATATACTATATGCACACAGGAAAGAAAGTTATCCTGGTACCTCTGGACGAACAGGATCCTCAATGCCAACAACAGTGATGCAAGTAAGGTCAGACAAAATCTCATTTTCAGCATCCCAGTCAGGTTCAACACCAGCAGGGAAATCCCGGTAAGCCAGGCAAATAGTGCGTAGCCCCTGACAAGCCATTGGTTCAATCACTTTTTTCACCATCTCATCCCGGTCTTTCACTTTAAATAATCGAATTTCCCCATTTTTGTCCAAAATTTTTGTGCACCTGTATTAAAGGGAAAAAAAACAAAAGGATTAAGCACATATTTCAAAAATTATGTTCATACTTTACAAGCAAAGCTTAAGCTACCTGTATATAACCTATATATTAAACACATTACTTTTCAGGTAGTTATTAATTGTGTGAATTCTTTAAAAATGGAGGCTCAAGAAGGGTGATCAAAATGGATTTCTACAAACAGAATGTGTGCATATGGAAATACAAGGGATTTAACCTTTGAACTGCTAACTGAACCCACAAACCTACAAATCTATAACTTAAATAACACTTCTCACAGATGATTTATAAGAAAGAAAAGACTTTGATTACTCCTTGTCAATGAGTTGGAAAAAGCATTGGAATATCCCAGAGTTCATGGAACTCTACACTGGAACAGCTTAAAAAAAACCCTCTTAATGTTAATGAAGGCTTGAGAAGTTTGGGAAGATAATCCTGGCAGATGAGAAGGGTTGATTCCAAGATATCCTAAATGAAGGTCAAATATATGGCTGCATCTTACATTCTACTCATAATGACTGAAGATTTTTAAAATATTTTTGAGTAAGGTTCAGAAATGGAAGAGAATAGTGCAAACCCTTTTCAAACTAGTCTGTAACTACAAAAGGTTAATGCAATAATAAAGCAAATTAAAGATGTTTCATCAGTTACTTATTGTTTCAACCATTTTTCAATTTACTTAGCTGAAAGTTTTCCTGAGTGAAACATCTGAAGGGATTAGGCGAAGAGTCTGAATTAAGCCTATTAAGCCTTTTGTAGAGAACTAGAAACACACAAGAGAGAAGATATGCTAACAGAATTCTAACTGAAAATAAAATAGAGAAGTTAATATGTTTTCCTTTCTGTGCTACCATAGGTTCTTTCAGATTTTTTATACTAAATATTCATACATTTTGTGAATTTTCCCCATTTAGAAACAGCACTTCTCCACTATCCATCTCATGGATGCTTCTTATTAAAAATAATGTCTCAAGAAGCATGAATAATACCAGCATTGAGAGGAACATTACTTGCGCAGGATGATCTCAGAGGCTCCTTTGCTGTACATGCGAAAACTCCCATCCTGGTTTTTTAGCACTGTACTCATAGATTTCCGTACAGAATTGAAGGTGTAGACCTTATAGAGCTTTTCTTCAGGCACTTCACTACGGACAGCTTGATAATCCTGCTTCAAGTCCAGAACAAAGCCCAGAAGTCCACACTCCGTCTTATTACCAACTTGACGTGGGAGTCCTCCTTCTTTTTCTGGTGGCTAAAATCCCAAACCATATATAGCAAGAGAAATATAGTAACTTCTTGGTCCATAGTGACAATTATTTAATCTCTAACAGAAAGATTAAAATTTTAGTGGGCAGTGGTGATGAGATAGAACTTATGACAAAATATCTGATTATGATAATTAATGTAAGGAAACTTTTGTTGGTTTAGAAGTCTATTTAGCAGGCAACCCAGATTCCAAATGGAGTCTACAAAAGGGCAGGGATGCAATGGGTTTCTTCACTAATACTCCTCAGGGAGATGTGAAGATCCAGAAAAAAACAGAATTTAAGCTCTTTTACTATCCACCCATTCTTGATTTTTCCCGTGAATATTGAAAAATGTTTATGATCGTGAAATATTTATTAATATTTTATTTTAATTGAACAAGTAGTTAGGATATTAAAGATGCCAGTCCATGTTTCAAAGCACACTAATTTAAGAAATAGAGTAATGTATGAAGCATAGAGAATCTGGCCACCTAAGTTGAAGAAAAAGCCAACTGTCAGGGATTCTTGAATTCCTACACTGAATAGAGCACTGCATCCAAATATTTTGTTTTTCAACTCTAGGATGCTATGATTCTAAATCAATGGCCATGCTATCTTGAGGTAAAAAAAAAGGACATCTCTCCAAAGTCAAATGAACTACAATGTTATATTATATTGGCCTTTACATCAATTCCAATATAAAAATCTGATTCGGAAGATCACTTCTTCTCAATATTTAAGCAAGGGAGAAGCTAATTTCCCCATTCACTCCTATCACAATCCTAATAAAAAAAAATAAACTCTGCTGAATGCATTTTTAAATAAAAGAGGCATTTAGCACCCCACATTGCTTACATCCAATTCCAAATAGTTTTATTAGAAAATAACAAAAAAGCAATAGAATTTGTGGCAGGTATTGAGCACTAAGAAATAAAATTTCAAAGAGAAAAAGATGATATTACATTTTAAAAACCAACAGCAAGTTAACAAGATGGCTGCTGATTTTAGGGCTGTGTATTGATATATTCTAAGAGGACAGACCCACCTGGGTGTGCATGGGTAAGAACATTACACTTACTTGCACTTTAATAAGTCTTTTACAGAGATCATGCATGAGCAACAAATGCAACAGATGTGCCCATGCACATTCTGAATCACCTTTCTCCCTCTAAATCCAGAAAGTTGTTAGTACTCAGGGACATCCTTGCAGGAAAAGCATATATGATGAAAACACTATTACACTGAAAGCTCTGTCCCTTTTATACATGATGTACTTGTACATATACATACACTACAGGCATAGAGCTTGTGTCACAACACTGGTTTTGTCTTTTTAATGAAATCTTGCAGATACCTCCGATAGTCCTAATTATCTTTTACCTTTCAGAAATTAAAGCCTTCATCTCTAAAAGTTTCATTTTCTATCTGTGAAAACAGAATATTAGAATTTTCTTATCTGATTGATTTGTCCATTGGATTTTTAAAAAGAGTTCATTCACTTGTTTTTTTTTTCTCTCTCAGAAATCACTTCCTAATGTTCAGGAGGGAAGTATATTTTATTAATACATGCTGGTTATTGTGAATGTGAGATGAGGAGGAAGAGAAGAATTTTTTTATCATTCATACACCCTCACATTCAACTCAAGGCAGTGAACATAACTAATACTCTGGCCTCCTATTTTCCTCACAACAACCAGCTAGGTTAAAAGTGAGTGACTAGCCCACTTTTCTTTACTTCAGATTGGATAAAAGATGTTAAGTGTTGACCCCAAATAAACTGGAACTTACCAAGATTTTAGAAGTATAGGCTGAATTTATTGAAACACCATTGACAATAAGGTCCAGGACCTTGGGCAGAATAGCTTCTGGGTCAGGAATCTGTCGATAGTGTGTGTCTCCCACATAAGCTTGCACCACAGTCATCCGATTCATTGTGAGGGTCCCAGTCTTATCTGAGCAAATAGCGGTGGCATTTCCCATTGTCTCACAAGCATCCAGATGCCGAACCAGATTGTTATCTTTCATCATTTTCTGCGTTAGCAAAACATAAAAAAATACTGAAACAGATTACAGCTACTCAATGGCACAGAGAAGATTGGTAATTAAATCCATTAAGAATTACCAGAGATAATAACCAATCAATCTTAAACTTGATCAATAAATCAGCTATAATAATAATAATAGTAATAATAATAGTAGTAGTAGTAGTAGTAGTAAAGTTGGAAGGGACCTTGGAGGTCATCTAGTCCAACCCCCTGCTCAGGCAGGAAACCCTACACCATTTCAGACAAATGGCTGTCCAGTCTCTTCTTAAAAACATCTAGTGTTGGAGCATTCACCGCTTCTGGAGGCAGGTTGTTCCACTGGTTAATTGTTCTCACTGTCAGGAAGTTTCTCCTTAGTTCTAGATTGCTTCTCTCCTTGATTAGTTTCCACCCGTTGCTTCGTGTCCTGCCTTCAGGCGCCTTGGAAAATAGCTTGACTCCCTCTTCTTTGTGGCAGCCCCTGAGATATTGGAACACTGCTATCATGTCCCCCCTTGTCCTTCTCTTCATTAAACTAGACATACCCAATTCCAGCAACCGTTTCTTATATGCTTTAGTCTCCAATCCCCTAATCATCTTTGTTGCTATATATTCATTTGTTTTATGTTTAACAATCTGGACTGTTAATCTCTTCAGATAATATTGTAAAACTTGATTTCTTTTTCTTTTTTCTTTCCCTTCTCACAAAACTCATGCAAGCTTTCACAAAGCTCTTTTGTAAATCTAATATAGGAAGATTTTCCATGTCACTCTCTTATATGCAGTGGTGGGATTCAGCCAGTTCGCACCACTTCAGCAGAACCGGTAGCTAATTTTTTGTTGCCCAGGCCCAGAATGGACTTCTGGAAGCAGCATCCACACAGAGAACCGGTTGTTCACATATTTGAATCCCATCACTGCTTATATGGTTATCTCTATATCGCTTTTAATAATTAAGACATTAGCCAGGTTCTTATTCTAGACAAGCCCAACCTGCTTAGTTTTCAAACCAAGATATTACTGGCAGTTGTTGCCATCTGCTCAGAAAGATACAAATGTACTTTAAAAAAATGCATCTTAATGAAAAACAGGGCAGAAGAAATTTACAAATGAACACAAATGTATTCCATTGCATCCCACACTCAAACCTTTTCACAGCCTTTTCACAGTAAAAACCAAAGCACAGTAATTTAATAGTGCATCCTAGCCCATCCAATCTTCCTTTCATATCTACATCCAAAAGCCTTAGAATTTCCCGCAGAGTCCATATTCTCACCTTCACAGAGTAGGCCAAAGAAATAGTGACAGCCAGGGGCAAGCCTTCAGGAACAGCTACTACTAGCACAGTGACACCAATAATGAAGAACTTGACAAAGTACTGGATATAAATGGGAGTACATTCAGCCAGCCATGATTTTCCTTGAATCCCAAAAGTATCAATCACAAAATATAGCACCAAAATAATAACTGTGATTGCTGACATAATCAAGCCTGAGGAGAAAGAGAAAAAAAATTGTGACTATTTCCAGCAGATTACAGGATTGACTGCATTATGGATATAACTGGAAGCAAGGCAGAAGATCTGGGCTAAGGCTATTTTATTAATGCAGGAAGCTTCTAGTCTTCCAGATATCGTTGGAAATATCAGTTTTGTGTACATACTTTACCAGGGTTCATGCCATTCATATAGATATTCTAAGCTTAATATATTACCTGAGAAGGTTTGCAGGCAACAAAACTAGAAAACATTTCCATCAGGGGCCCTGGAGAGTTGTGCCAGATGAACTAAAGCTGAGTCTGATTCATATGCAGTAAGAAATACACTAGAGAAACATTGGTTGGAACAATACTGAAAAACCTAGTAGAACCTAAGTTCTGTAGTATTTGAACTGAGATTGCAAATTTTACTGATTCATAATTTCTGGTTTTCTAGAATCTTATCATATCGTATCATCTGAGTCTACTTTTAGTAGACAATCGCTAAGCCGTCTGATGTACTCACCTGCTTTTCCAATCTGAACTGCCAAGCGGGTTAGCTTTCCCTGCAACACTGATTTCTCCTTCTTTGGGATCTTCACTTTTTTCTTCTCCTTCTCCTCATTCTCCACCCCTTCTTGGCTTTTCAGTGGTTGGATCTCCAGGGCCACTCCATCCTGAGTTTTGGCTGAATCCAGGATGAAACAAATATGCCATGCATGAGAAGAACAGTCGTAAAACACTTCCGATGCAACAGAAAGAACAAGAAAAATGGCAGAGAGTAAGAGAGAAAGAATCCCAGCGCATGGGAACCCCAACAGCACTCACGGGAACTTGGTAATTTGGAAACCTAGAAAATCAGGCAGTTCTGCTCCACATTCTTGTGGAACTGGTGACTGAAGCAGCTTGTGAAAATGTCCCCTTAATTAATTTTCCTATATCTGGAAGGAAGGGCAGCCTTGATAAGAAGGTTTTGGGGACTAGCTTGCTGACTACCTCAAATCCCTGTGCAAGGCATTCATCAGTACTCATCTCACTGAGGTAGTAAAAGTGAAAAACCTAATTAATCTATTTGCAGCTACAATGTTCGAAATTCTGATGGCATGGCTAAACCTAGGATTTTGTTATTGAACAAAGCCACTGTTGTAGACTTGAGAGGCAACCATAATCAACCAAGCTGCATTTAGTATATCTGCCTACATAGATGAGAAAGTGAAAAAGAGCATCTGTCTAGTCTTTATGATGGCTTATGGTTCGAGAAATTAATGTAAAAGAAGCCTATAGGCTATCCAAATTTCTCCACTCTTAATAGAGGGGGAGATGTCTTTATTTTTTTTTTTAAAAGTAAAGTAAATAAGTATGATAAATTCTTTCTCAAAGTTCTGATTTCAAAAGTACATTCTAGAAATGAATTTCAAAAGCTATAAAGATTATTCTCTGATCAGATTCCTTATGCCATATTTTTTTAAACTACTGTATTCAAACTTATGTAGGTATCATATCTTGAAGGTGGGAGGAGTAAGAGGAGAGGAAGATTAATTATAAAGAGGTTAGGACTGGATCAGTTAATGAGAAATGAATCAGTTAGTCCATTCAACCTCCCTTTCACCCATCTCTTCTAAGCTCTGTGACTCCATTCTTAATATCTTTGGAACCTCTAAAAATACAGTTGGTAGATCCTCAACTAGTGCATATCAGCATAACTGCAGCAATTTATTTACCTACCAAAATCAGAGATTCAATCCCCAAATCCCCAGAATTAATAAGAGCTTAAAAAAAACTAAAATCAAATGATGTAGGTTTTTATATTATGCGCTTCTTCTTTTAATTATTTATTGCTCATTTGGGTATTTGTATGCACTGAGAATTATTTTAGGCACGGACTGAAATATAAAATTCTCATCGATAAACAAAGGCAAAATGCCATCAATTCCCAAAGTCGTGTGGGTTCAGAAAAATGTGGGCAGGACTACTTAATAACTGATTTGCACAGTTAGGATTTATGGACATGATGGGAAAGGGCAAGGAAGAGGAGAATCAATGCCAAAATAATCCAAGATTTCAAGATTAGGAGGGAAAACTCAAAACTGTGGAGAAAAGGAAGAAAAAGAGAAAGGCAAAGTGCAAGAAGGAGAACAGACAGGTACAGAAATGGGCTTCTTCACCATAGCCTGGAAAGAACAGGGGGTGATACATATCAGAAAATAAACACTCACTTTGATTCAAAAGCCCATGAGAAGAACAGAGTGCAATGAACACATATGCTGGACCCACCACAAGGGTCTGATTTTTTTTTTTTTTTTTAAAGATCAGTTTTGGGACTGGAGATAGAAAAACCAATCAACACCATCTTGGGAAATAAGTAATTATTCCAATTGTATAGGAACTCACTTCATATCAAATAGTCTTTCATACATATTTAACTAAGAGATTTCCATAAAGCTTTACTTTTGTGTTTTGTTTTAAAGTGTGTGAGGTATGCATGCAGATATCAAGACATACACCTCAGAGCATCAGCTCAAAAATTCAGCATTCAACTAGATGAAGTTTGTGTGGTACTAGATATGGAATTCTCCCAAGCAAGAATGGCTATACAATGGACAGAAAAAAGAGTGGTGGGTGGTTAGCATTGTGGTAATCATGACACTCTCTTCCAGAACAACAAGGCGAGATTCCCGCCGTAGCGACAAAGAGCACAGACTCATGGGAAGAAGGAAGGAGGAATGCTCAGTAGTTAGTGTGGTGCTGGTTCAAAGGATGGAGAGGCTGGTTACCTTTGTTGCGATTTTCAGGGGCTCCGGTTTTTTTACCTGTTTAGACAAAGAGAGAAAGGGTGCAGCACTGAGCGCATGATTCTTGACACTGATGTCCCTGATGGTGAGGGCACCTTTATGTGGGAACTCAGTGCTCTTATGGGCAGGCTGCCAGACACGGAGATGTAAGCTATACTTGACAGAACTGCCATTTGGACTGACAAATGCAAAAAGCCCAGAGAATTCAATATTTCTCCAACTAATTGTCATTATGAATCCCCTCTTTTCAATTCTTGTGCTCACTCTACTGAAAACAAGCAAGTATAGGAACAACCAATTTGAATCAATGGAATATTTGCTGATCAAAGTGACAGAATATATTGTATTATGACTGGGCTATTAGCACTAAATATTAAGGATTAGTTCTTACACTGAACTCCTCTTAAGTTAAACTTTTTCAACAGTGTGGGGACTACATGTTTTTTTCTACCACCAGGCTGAAGTGACTTAGCTTTCATTGAAGAGCAGATGACAAATACAAAATAAAATACTTCACTAGAAGTTTTCCTCAGGGGAAAAAAATAATCTTTTAAAATACGAGTGTAAAATACCCACAAAACTACTGTAGAGGATGAATACAGGACAGGACTGCCAAAAGTAGGTAACAATTATTTGTGTATGCCATAGCCATATAAGTTCATGTACTATTAAAACCCTAAAGTCAGAAAATGGTGCTAGTTTAAGCATAGAAGAATTACCCCTTCTACCACATAGTTCCAGCTGTTGTTTTTTTTGAAAGTGTAGAACATCAATTAGCTAATGATTTAAAAAGCTTAACAGTAGAACATCTATATACTCATATAGTTCCCGGAATCTGATAGGAGTAAGATATACTTAGCTTTGTGGAGCCATGTGGAGTAGGGGAATAGAAAGATAGGGATCTACTCCCTTGAACATCATGCTCCCTGTTGCTATCATGATGAATTCTCTATTTCAATCCACATCAAAAGGAAAGGCAGGGGACTTCAAGAAAATACTCGTTTATTATTAATGTTCTGAATGTTCTGCCTGCAGATTTATTCTTTGGCCTCAAGGATAACACATTACCCCTATTTCTGCTGAGGTCTAAGTTAGAGAGTCTTGGATGGCAGCTATGAATCTTCACCCATTCCAAAAGGAAAAGATAAAGGAGCAGCTACAGCCTAAATATTTTCCAAGTCTCTCATTTGTGCATTAAACTAAAAATAGGAAAAAGAAGCCATTTCTACTTACAGGGATAGATAGAATGACCTTATCTGGCTACTAGCAAAACTGCACCACCATCCTTCCTCAGTCTTAGCCTCATTAAGTCCTGTCCTTTAACACTGTTTCAGTGGGGTGATGTTGGAGAAGTGAACAGCAGGTCATTTTTTGCACATCCTTGGCTGGCCAAGACGAAATTAAAACTCAGATGCCTCTTATGTTATGAGCCAATCAGACCAGCACGCAGGTTTCTGTTTTTATAAACCACATACCAAAGTTCTGGTTTCTTTGTCTTCAGTTGAAAGTGAAAAAGCTTCAAAGCCTTATTTGGAAACTAAAGCTACTGTGCACAATGTTTTGTGAATTAACAGAGGCCAAGTAGCCCAGTATAGGCTGTTAAAATTGTTTGGGTTTAGATTAATTATTTTGTAATAAACACATTCACTGATCATATTTACCATCTCCAGTCATTGTTACTCAGCATGAGCTTATTTCACAATATGGAAATATGAACGACACACTTAAGGGGATTGCTCAAAATATGAATATGTTTGTATTAAGTAGTGGTGCAGTAATGATTCCTCTTTTAGTAAAAATATAGTCACATGGGCCATGGAAACCACCCCACACTGGCCAAAATCAATGCTAGTAGGTTGAGGGAGAAAATAATAGAATGTCCCCACAAAATATGTCTTCTTAAGTAAAAGTTTCAAGAGACCTGATTTAAACAATAATCTAGAGAAATGTGTACTTATCTTTTGAATGTACAATCTTTTGGGTAAGGAATTTTATCATTCTCATGATACATCAACTTTATTTTTAAAAGTGAAAGTACATAAAAAGAGTTCTATTAAAGATTTACACACCATCAAAAAACATGTTACCAGAAGCTTCAGGGAAGCCCATCCAAGCAGGAGACAAAAGCAATAGTTCTCTATACCACTGTTTGACCCCAAGTAACTTGATGTGCAGAGCTATAATATGATAATGGTTACATAATCAATTAACCTTATGTATGGTCTTAATAATTCTATTCTGGGATGGGAAACCTATGTATGGTTCATTGGTGTGTCCATAGTGAGCAAGTTACACTTGAAGGGTCACGGATGTTCATCCTCGCTATCTATTAAGGGCAACCCTGTTTCTACCAAGTGCCTATTTGTAGGTAGACAAAAACATATCAACGTAAAAGATGTATCAACAGGATTTCACAAAACCAGTACATACAAAAAAAGGTACCTTTAAATGGTAGCAGAGAAGTAAACAACCTTATGTCAACTGAATATGCTCACTTGTCATAGAAAGCAGACTCAATGCTAAAAAGAAAGAATTTGGGGGGAGGGGAGGAGGCAGGTTGGAAAAGTGCAGGTTGTCGAAATCCCTGTACAAAAGTACTTGACACAACTGTTATTTCCCCTTGCCTTTTTCAAAATTCAAAATTGATGAAGATGATGACTCAAAAGAGAAAACCTGCAGCTTTTAGATAGCAATCTTCTATTGTCCCCATTTCTTGGCATTACTGAGCTATAGCTGATCTGTCAGCATGATCGTTGACCCTCTAATCTCTGGCATGCACTGTACTGATTACATGTTGAGTTTACAATAAGATGCTTGAACCTTCAGGGTTTTCTTTCCTTATAAAACTCAAAAACTTCCAATGTCAGTCCACTAAGGAACTTCATGCTACCAACATAAAGAATGGCTTATGAATCTTACCTTTCTTGGCCTTTTTTTCCTCGTCCCCTTCTCCGGCACCCAGAAGAGTAAAAATTATTCCAGTCTGTGAGTTGATACCCACAGCAGTCACCACCATTCGACCAGAGCCCTCCATTACATGAGTGCCTAATAAGAACAGGTGAAGCATGGGAAAGGAAAAAAAGAGGCACTGGATAAACTATACAATTAATTTCAAAATATAACCTAAAGATGTGAATATATCTGGGAGATGAAATTCAATTTCTAGATCGCTTATTTGAATCAATGTATGGGCATACATGAAGTTCCTGTTTGTGCTAGCTTCACTATTCATAGTGCACATAATACATGCAAGAGAGTATATACAATGATATACACTGAATCACTTTCATTTTTTAAAGAAGTATGAAACGCTGAATCTCATTGGTCCATAAGAATTGGATAAGACTATTTTTTTTTATTAAAGCATTCTTGAATTCTGTTGTGCTATTTCTCCAGGAAGAAGTAGGAGTTCAGTGATGCTATAGAGAATCAAGTATTCAGTACAGTATACATTATACTACAGCTTCATATTCAAAAAGAATGGACCAGATAAGTGACGCTTGTGCATGAAGTGGTTCAAAGATCCCTGTAAAAAACAGAATAAATGTTGAATATTTCCGAAAATAAACATGTGGAAAATCTTCTCTAGCTTATCGTAGAGAACTACAAAACAGCTTCTTTACTACACAACTCTTGGCATTTTCATAAGGGGCAATTAACATCATATTTGCATCTAGATGCCAAAAGGCTCAGAGACCTGTACTATAAATTAAATTCAACTTCCTGCAACCTGAGACACTTACCAGAAAGCAACATAGGGTCTTTATCCAAAGATTTCTTCACTTGGTCAGATTCCCCAGTCAGAGAGCTCTCATCAATTTTCAAATCATTTCCTTGGATCAAAATGCCATCTGCTGGCAACAGGTCCCCTAAAAAGTCAGAAAAACAACAGGTCACCCAAGTTTTCTCCACCAAATCAAGGCTCAAAAAAATCTATCAAACCAAAGGCAGCTTAACTTCTGTAACTTTTTTTTTTTAAAAAAAAAACAACTGGTGACAAAGATGGGCATGCAGCCATTACTGGAAATGGAATGTATTAGACACCCTCAATTTTGCTGAACTCAGCTTAATAGGAACACATTTTTCCTGCCTGTACTCTACTAGTTTGCTTTGGGAAAAAAATGAAGTTTAATTCCAATTGCACTGAGAAAAAGAGATAAATTGAGTTTCCACAGGCTGTGTTCCTGCTAAGCATTATTTCCTTTGCACATAAAACTTCCATTAGGAATTGAGGGCAATTCATCCACCCCTCAGCCGTGGGACATAATTGCAATTCCACAAACAAATAAGGAAATGCAGATAAGCAAGTATATTATGAAGGCTTTGAAAGAGGGTAATCATCAGGACACATTCATGTAATTAATAAAATCATATTCAATGTTGATTTTTTTCCCTACAAGTTTCATTTGAACAAGTACTATAAGATTCTCCAAAGTGTAAAGTTTGTACATCTGCTGTCCTGCTTTTATTCTTTCCTATATGCCAATTCTTCAATATGACATCTAACCAATCTTTTTTTCACAAGAGACCATACATTCACTAGGCCCAAGAGTATTATATAACTGGTTGACTTGGGTTCGTGTGAACCATTCTTTTTTTAAAACAAAAAATTAAAAAATGTTTTTTAAAAATAACTTTTTTCTGCACCTCCTAGGCTTTTTTCCAAGGGGCATCACGGTACATCCTGATGCTGAACCCATGTGCCTGTTCCAGGCAATTAAACTTTGCCCTTCTTATATTGCCTGAAGGAAGATTATGCTGGAAGGTTAGCATGCTGCATCTTGGAATAATGGTGTTTTTATTAAGCTGCAGATGAACTACACTGCTGATTTTCTCATCCCATTTTAGTTAAGTGTAGAACAGCAACAGAAAATTGAGGAAATAAGGACTGAAGCTGTCTTTCTGGGCTTAGGAGTGCAGAAGGAAGGAAAGAAAATAGGAGCACAGCAATTTCTTGATAACATACATGGTATCTCGACTCACATATGTTGTACAGCATCATCCCTGTCATCATAATACTTCTCCCAGTAGGAAGCAAAGACCTTGGATGAGCATGAGATATTTCTATGATTGGCAAAGATAATTCACATGGTTTGTGAATGATAACTCACAAATCTAGAAGCAGCATCTATGTCCTAATGTTTGTATGTTCCTTTGGTTTTAATCATACAGTGATAACTGTAATCACAGTGATAATTTCAATACATGAGAAAAATATTCTGGAAAGTTTATAGTTACTCACCATATTTGATTTGAGCAATGTCCCCAACCACAATCTCAGCTACAGGAATTTGGATCACTTGTCCCTTACGGATGACAGTAAATTTCTGCTCCTGCTCGATGCGACTCTGCAGACCCCGGAATTGTTTCTCTTTGCTCCAGTCATTGAAGGCTGTGACCAACACCACAATAATAACTGAGAAGAGGATGGCTGCTCCCTCAATCCAGCCAGCCTGAGCCTCGCCTTCATCTTCTCCACTGCCCTTTGCTTCTCCACACACTTCCAACAGATAAAGGAGGAAAAGAATGGTTTAGATTTAGAATACTGCTATATTGAACTGATACTGTGTAAGACCCACTGCCATTTGCTACTTGATGAATCACAGAATCAATGTTTTAGACAGACTCACACTTGTTACATTCCATACTGAATTCTACAGACAACATTAAATACAAAAAAGGCAACATTTTTTGTTTATTTACTGTTTATTTTGTGTATTTATTTTGAATGCAATTTACATTGCATTCAAAACTCAAAAGGAAAAAAGGAATACAAATTATTTTGTAAAGATTCCAGAGATATTTATCTATGAACAAACTTCACTGGGCATAATAGGCTTCAACTACTGAAGGTAATCGTAAAAATATATTCTAAGCTTTACTGCGACAATGATCACAGAATAATAACCTATCAATCTATATCAGCTTCATGATTAAAGGAGAATTAATTCACTGAAATAATAAGCACTGATGAAGTATCAAAGATATCAAAGTATGTTAATAACATCTTCAGGGGTATCTAAGAAACCTAAAAAATGTCAAACTGTTGCATTCCAGAGGTTGTCTGACCCTGAAATGATTGTTTTTTTAGAATTACTCCCAAAGCAATTTTCAAATGGAATCATTCAAAAACAAAAATCCAGCAATACAATACAATAAATATAAATACAATTCAAAACCAAATAGTACTGTATTAAAAAATATAAAGTGGCTAATAATGAAATGTATATACTTGAACAAATGAGGCTTTTAATTCTTGTCCACATTGTGAACCCATTTGATCTCAATAAAAGAGATCATTTCATACAGCAGGCATCTGAATGGAGAATGGTTCTATGTAGCATGGTAAAGAAGAATATTTCTTCAAAAAATAAAGGCTAGGTAGGCCAGTAATATAGTCCTACATGGAAGAAAGTGACTCTGGTCCAGAGCAGCTGAAGATCACTACTATGCAAGATGTCTTGGTTAGCAGTGGGTTCTGGGTTCAATTTAAGGTGTTCAGAAATAAGCAAAACAGAATCACCCCAAAGTCACGATATTGTCATAAGTCCTTTGATCAAAAAAGGCACAACTGGAAGAATCTAGTGTTGCAGTGAGCAAGTATAAGAAAGGTTTTTAAAAATTACACTGAAAGGAAGAGAAAGCCTCTTAGTTCTAAAATTAGGTAACATAAGCTGGTCTGTTTTGCCACCACCTGGAATATTTTAATAACATTTTAAGAATATTTTAAACTTTACAAAACTCATCTGTCCTTCTCCCTGCTTTAGGGGACAAGAAAATAGGGCCAATGTTTGGCGTTAAGGAACTACTTGCTCTCCCACAAACCTTATCAACATGCAGAGTCCCTTTCAGGAGGCTTTTCCTCAGTCCTCTGCTTCCTGGATTTTCTAGAGGATCCTGAGGAAATGCTCCTTCTTGCTTGAGGCATTCAATGTTTGGAAGAGGAGGTTCTCTCAACAGCCAAGTCATCTGTCTTTTAGATGCCAAGGAAAGGAAAGCTTTTGTTTTCCCAGGCACCTAAAAAAAAAACCCTACTCTCTGATTCTGCCACTGTGAGGCTCTCCTGTACTTGTAGCATTTTGATTTGTTTCATTACTTTATTATTTTATTCCTGATGCTGATTGTTAGCTTCTTGAGAATGCTGTATATCAGTGGTGGCTCTTTTCTTTGTGGTGTAGCCAAAACGTACATGTGGAAAAGCCTAACTGCAATTTTCGACACCCATAACATCTGCAAAAGAATACTTCCTCCAAAGGGAATCACAAATTTAAAATCAGTTTTGCAAAAGTCTTGACTGCAGATAAAGTTTGATCTGCATTTACCAACTGTGAATACATGAAGCAGCAGAAAATGAAATTGTGGATAACGAAGACCATCTGTACTGTAAGGAATATATATATATATATATTAGCCTAAGTTAAAATGATACCCAGGATTTGCATTTTTAGCATTTTAAAGGATACACACACACACACACACACATACACACACATTTATAAATAAATTAAAATACTCATAATACTGTCTTTTACAGCAGGAATGTGCTGAAGAATTATTCTAAGAAAAAATCTATGAAGCTTCTCTAACAATAAATTAGTTACATCAAATAGTTTAAAATGCAGAGAAAATGAAGCACACAATGTTTTCCAACATTTCCCCAATTTAAGTATAGAAATGATGACTAAAATCAATTTGGAATTATTGTAATTTATGTCTTTCTTAAAGTCTTATAAGAGAGCCGTTAGAGATAAGAATTTCCTTTCCCTAATGCCAAGGAATTTGTTTTGTTTCTTTTTTATTCCTGCTACCTAATATAGTTATCCTTTCAGAATTAATTCAAGGCCATGTTTAAATTTTAAGCATACCTGCTTGATTTTGGAAGGGTTCCTTGGGCTGAGAGATTACTGTTGTATATATGGCTCAATAGTAATTATATTCAGACAAAAATGTTTTAATTCTATCAAAATCAACATTTCAATAAGCAATATTTAAAAACAAAGCTATAAGCTAAACAAAGTATGTCAAAAGAAAAAGATAAGATACTAATTTCTTTAAAAAGTGTCTCAAAAATGAAATCACATAATAAATTACTTAGGTAAACTAAATCAGCTAAAATAATCCACAATATTTAATTTTTGCCTCTGTTTATGTATTTAAGATTGTAGAACTGTTTATGCAACTGGAAGACAATGAGTTATTTCAATTAAAAAAAAATAGTAAAAACTGAAGTGATTCAGGGAGAATTAACGGACTCTATGTACAGAATGACTTTATAAATAAACCATAAAAATGTTTTATAAAACTATACTGAAGATCAAAAGTAAAATTATCTTTTTTGAGAGAACCAAGTTATCTGAAATAAATAATTCCAAGAAAAAGAAATGCATGCAAATCCTTCCGGAAAAGGAGTACAAATCAAATGAAAGAAATACAAATCAAAGGAAGGAAAGAGAAGAAGGCCAGCAGTAAGGTGGATGGATTCAATTGATCTTCACTGGAAGATCTAAAGGTCTCAGTTGAGGACGGATCATTCTGAAAGTCTATTTATGTGGTCACTAAGAATTGTCATCAATTAGATGGCACATAATCAGCCAATCAGAAAAACCAATCGAAAATTGCAATAGCTTGACAGTTATTACAGGTTGGCACACATCAAGCAAAAAAAAATCTATTTGTGATAAGGTAGGATAGCCTAGGGAATTTTGGTATTCGTCTGTGGGATGAGAGTACTGTATCCCAAAACCATTTCATATGTTGACAATATTTATAAACATACAAACAAATCTGAATATGTAAACAAGTCAGACTTACAGCATTTCAAGAGGGTGAGTTAGATACAAATTAACTCTCCTTTCTGTGAGAGTTACAGCAGTCAACTGTAAAGTAAGAGCAACTAGCTAGATGCCTAATTTGTCACCTGCTTTTCCATTCAAATTGTTTTACAGATAAAATGACTTGCTATTCCAATTAAAAAATGTATTCAGGGCATGCCACAATTTATGAAATTAATCTGGCAAAAGAAATGCAATTCTCAAGTTACAAGCAAAAATATTGGAAACATTTAGTATAACAGTCTAAGTTTGAACAGATTTGGTCTTTAAAAAAAACTAAATGGCAGGAGCAAAATGTCAAATGAAATTTAATGCAATGAGAGCAAAGTGACGCACAATGCAAAGAGCTATTTAACATAAGTATAGAATGCTGAGCTCTGGAAACAGATTTTGGAGTCACTGCATGTTGCTGAAGTAGCAAGTGCATCACAACAGAAAAAAGCAAGCAGAAAGAACAGAAACTCCTAAATGAGGAGAAGTGGGAGCTAACAAAAGAAAAGCAGCTTATCAAAGTCACTGTTGTGCCTACTATTCAACCCCAGAGAGAGAAAGAGAGAAAAGAATGGTTCCTGAGAAAAGAGAACCAAAACCAAATAAAATTGCAGACAAGGACAATTTCAATTGCAAGGAAATGTCTAGCAGTCTGCTAGTGAAGGAATAATACCACAATCCTTTCTTTCAAAAAAGGTAGGGGGGGGAAAGATCATCGCAAAGTTGAATTTATTCAGATCTCATGAAACATAAATGAGGCTAAATAGATTCAGAATTGCTCCCAAAGATTCTATTAAAACAGGGGACAATTCCATGAAATGAATTATCAGACGACTTCATAAAAAACGAATTCTACGTAAAATACAACTATTCCACAGAACTATAAATGCTGTAGCAAAGTTGTAAAAGCTACTAGCCTAGTTTTTTTTTAAAAAAGATACAGGACTATCTTTTTGGAGTGAGACTATTAACTGCTACTGTGACAGTTCTGTGTCAGCGAGAGACAGAAACTGACAAATTGCTCTTCTTTTAAACCTTGCCTTTTCTATTATATCCAGCTTTCAGCTCAACCATTTCTAATCGCAAGATGTTGGACTAAATTAATCAAATGAATGTACACAATTTATCTCATCTTAAGTGATCAGTGAGTAAGAAAATGGCCCCTCAGCAATGTTAAACTAAGGTGCCTCATACATATTACCAGAATAAACTTTGCAAACTTATCAGAATGGAGAATGGAATATTTTAAAATAAGTTATACCTCTGAAATACTGAAAAACACAGCTAACATATTTATATTAATAGCCTAATTACTGAATGTCTGCCTATCTAACTTTGTATGTAGAAAACTTTCTGTTCTGCCTTTGGTAATGATGGTATTATATCATCTCAAATATAAGCTCTTGTAATTTATTATTTGCATTTGTAATAACATAGCTATAGTAAGAAGATCATTAATTAATTTAATAATCTACCAAATCTATGTAAATAAAAGTTAATTAGTTTCATTTCAAGTGTCTGTTTTCTTGTGCAGAAATAGTTTTCAGGATATGCGCTTCAGAACAGCCTTCCAAAACTTGGCATCCTATAGATATTCTGAAACTACAAAGCCTATAATTTCCAGTCTTTGGCAATGTTGAGGATTCTGTGAATTATAATCTGAACACATTGGAATGGTGTCAGCATGGGGAAGGCTATCCTTGGCAGGAAAAAACTCTAATGCGAATGGAGTTGTAATACTGAAACAAGTCTTCTAGCAAGGAGCAATGATAGTTGCCAAGCACAAGTGCATTATTAGAGCTCTATTTAGACAGAGTTCCTTCCTTTCCTCTTTAGGCTAATATAACCCTAGTGAGACCACACCTGGAATACTGCAAACCAATTTTGGTCACCATACTACAAAAAAGATGTTAAGACTTTAGAAAAATTTCAGAGAAGAGCAACTAAGATGATCAAAGGCCCGAGACTAAAACATATGAAGAATGGTTGCAGGACTTGGGTTTAGCTAGTCTAAAGAAAAGAAGAAAAAGGGGTGACATGATAGCAGCATTCCAGTATTTGAGGGGCTGCCACAAAGAAGAGGGGGTCAAATTATTTCCCAAAGACTAGAAGGCAGGACAAGAAACAAAGGTTGGAAACTGACCAAAGAGAGAAGTAACCTGGAATTAAGGAGAAACTTTCTAACAGGACAATTAACAGTGGAACAGCTTGCCTTCAGAAATTGTAGGTATTCCATCACTGGAGGTTTTTAAAGAAGAGACTAGACAGTCACTTATCTGAAATGGCATAGGTTCTCCTGCTTGAACAGGGGGCTAGACTAGAAGACCTCCAAGGTCCCCTCCAGCTCTGCTCTGCTCTGCTCTATTCTTTGATTTGGAATATACCAGATGGAGGGATACCACAAAACTAATCAAGTGGCTATCTTCTGTTATGGAAGATACTATATAGTACTATGTTATAGATTCAGTTCCATATCCAGACAATGCTGAAGGAGGATTTTTGATTTTCATTTTGATAGGATTCTATTGTGTTCTATTCTGTTCTATTCTCAGTTTACAACTCCAAGGATTTACCGCCATCATCTCCGTTTAAAAAAGAGTGGGTTGATGGCCGGATTGGGTTACAGCAATGAAATTAGAACTTCCAATGGAAATTTTCCATAGAAAACTGAAGCAAACAAATTTCAGTGACAGTAAAAAGAACTGCTGGGTTTCTCACCATGTCAAAATCAGCCACAGAAATGCCTTCTCCAAGCAGCAATTAGCCAGTTTCAGTTTTGAATTTTTGAATTTGAATTTGAATTTTATTATATTTATACCCCGCCCTTCTCCCGTAGGACTCAGGGCGGCTTATAGCCAGTTTAAAAACAGTTTAATACAATACAATACAAAGTTTTAAAAAATCATTAAAAATAAATATTTAAATCGGCCGCTTCTACTAAAATTTGGCTAAAACCAATTTAAAATACCCCTAGGCCAGTCCTGCCCGCTGAAACAACCAAGTCTTAAGGGCGCGGCGGAAGGAGGGGAGATCCGGAATCACCCGGATCTCT